CCTCCAGAACTTCTCCAGAACATCCCAAACTCCTCCAGAACCTCTTCAGGGACACTTCTGTCTCCCCCCCCAGGCCTCCAGAACCATCCAGAACCTCTGGAACTTCTCCAGAACTTCTCCAGAACCTCCAGCACATCCAAAACTCCTCCAGGACCTCCAGAACTGCTCCAAGGACCTGTCTGGATCCATCCAAGGCTTCCAGAACCATCCAAAAATCTCTGGAACTCCTCCAGAACTTCTCCAGAACATCCCGAATTCCTCCAGAACCTCCGGCAGTGCTCCCAGGCCCCTCTGGCTCCCCCGGGGTTCCGGAAGGTTCTGGAAGGTTCCAGGAGCTCCCCAGGGAATCTGCAGATCTCCGGGGTTCCAGAAAACTCCAGAAGGTTTCTGTGGTGCCCCAGGGATTCTGTGGAGGTTCCAGAAGGTTCCAAGAGCTCCCCGGGGCCTCAGCGCGGCTCTGGGGCCATTCCAGAAGGTTCCAGGAGCTCCCAAGGACTCTGCGGCGCTCCAGGGCCGTTCCAGAAGGTTCCAGAAGGTTCCAGTGGCTCTCAAGGACTCTTCACCGCTCCGGGGCTGTTCCAGAAGATTCCAGAAGGTTCCAGAAGGTTCCAGTGGCTTTCAAGGACTCTTTGCCGCTCTGGGGCCATTCTGGAAGGTTCTGGAAGGTTCCGGTGTCTCCAGGAGCTTCCAGAAGGTTCTGGTGGCTCTCAAGGACTCTTTGTTGCTCCGGGGCCGTTCTGGAAGGTTCCGGAAGCTTCCGGGAGCTTCCAGAAGGTTCCGGTGGCTCTCAAGGACTCTTCGTCGCTCTGGGGGCCGTTCCAGAAGATTCCAGAAGCTTCCGGGAGCTTCCAGAAGGTTCCGGTGGCTCTCAAGGACTCTTCGTCGCTCCGGGGGCCATTCCAGAAGATTCCAGAAGCTTCCGGGAGCTTCCAGAAGGTTCCGGTGGCTCTCAAGGACTCTTCGCTGCTCCGGGGCCGTTCCAGAAGGTTCCGGAAGGTTCTGGAAGGTTCTGGTGGCTCCCAAGGACTCTTCACCACTCCGGGGCCGTTCAGAAGGTTCCGGAAGGTTCCAGAAGGTTCTGGAAGGTTCTGGTGGCTCCCAAGGACTCTTCACCGCTCCAGGGCGGTTCCAGAAGGTTCCGGAAGGTTCTGGAAGGTTCCGGTGGCTCCCAAGGACTCTTCGCTGCTCCGGGGCGGTTCTGGAAGGTTCCAGGAGCTTCCGGTGGCTCTCAAGGACTCTTCGTCGCTCCGGGGCCGTTCCAGAAGGTTCCAGAAGGTTCCGGTGGCTCCCAAGGACTCTTCACCGCTCCGGGGCCATTCCGGAAGGTTCCAGAAGGTTCTGGTGGCTCTCAAGGACTCTTCACCGCTCCGGGGTGGTTCCAGAAGATTCCAGGAGCTTCCAGAAGGTTCTGGTGACTCCCAAGGACTCTTTGCCGTTCCGGAAGGTTCCAGAAGATTCCGGAAGGTTCCGGTGGCTCCCAAGGACTCCTCGTCGCTCCGGGGCCGTTCCAGAAGGTTCCGGAGCTCCTGGAGGTTCCGTCCGGTGCCGCCGGCGCCGTTTTTAGGCCCAGGGGCCTCAGAGTTATTTTTTTAAGCTCCTCGTCCACGGACGCCGGCGGGAATTTCCTGCGGGAATTTTTCCTGCGGGAATTTTTCCGGCGGGAATTTTTCCAGCGGGAATTTTTCCGGCGGGAATTTTTCCAGCGGGAATTTTTCCTGCGGGAATTTCGGATCCCCCCGAGCCGCCCCTCCCACAGGCGGCTTCGCTTCCCTTTGGTTTGCTTTGAATTGAATTTCTTTTAATTATTTTATTTTAATTTTTCTATTTTATTTTAATTTAATTTATATATTTTGTTTTATTTTTATTTAATTTATTTTAATTTTTATATTTTATTTTATTTTAATTTAATTTTTATATTTTATTTTACTTTAAATTATTTTATTTTAATTTTTTAAATTTATTTTATTTTAATTTTTATATTTTATTTTACTTTAATTTATTTTATTTTAATTTTTTAAATTTATTTTATTTTAATTTTTATATTTTATTTTACTTTAATTTTTATATTTTAATTTAATTTATTTTATTTTAATTCATTTTATTTTCATATTTATATTTTATTTTA